CCCAGGCTCTGGCTGAATACCCAGGGGTGCAAGGTCTGCACCAGGGGTCGTCCAGCCCCTTCCCTGCCAGCCCGTGGTAGAGGGAGCTTCCAGCATCCCCAGCACAGAAAATCTCTTTGGGCTGGTACATCGCAGCCCCAGGGTCCCTGCCAGAGAAGTAGCCAGCTCAGTCTGAGGGGAAACCTCTGAGCCCCCCACGCAGCTGAGAAAGAAACAAGGCAGGAGAGGAGACCCCCTCCCCAGTGTCCGGCCCAGCCTGGGCCAAGGCATGGGGGTCCCAGCATTTCCATCACCCAACTGGGGAGGCCCTGCTCACAGCCTGGAGCTGTGATCTGAGCACAGGTGTGGGGTGACCCGTGTCTGCTTGTACATGCATGTGCATGGGTGCACAGCCAGCTTGGAGCCCCCGCAGCCCAGCTCTTGCGCAGCCTGCCAGGACTGTCCCCGCGGGAGAGGAGGAAGATCAGCTCCCGACCCAGATGTGCTCCAGGGTGGATGGCCCTGATCCTGAGCAGCCCCGGGACACCAGAGTCCTCTGGGGAGGATGGGGGCAGCTCCAGGGGCTGGGCAGGGCTCTCAGAGGCAGGATGTCCCGTTCATGTGCGAGCAGTCTCCCGGCCGGCCCTGGCCCACGTTTGGGTCCTTGGGGGAGCAGGGGGTCTCCTCCACCAGCAGTGCATCAGCCTCGGCGTCAGGGGCCTCGCCGGAGCCGCGGCGCTGGTTCTCGGAGCTGTAGAAGAAGGAGAGGCGCCGGAAGGCCAGGCTCATGTCGTCCTGGATGCGGCCCAGCAGCTGGGTGAAGGACGGGCGCTGCCGCGGGTTCTGCTGCCAGCACCAGCGCATCAGCTCGTGGCTGGGGAGAGAGCGGGGTCAGCACACCCCAGACCCCTGCCCCCTCCCCAGCCCCAGAGAAGGACCCCATGCAGCTCTGCAAGGGTGCAAAGCTGATGCCCACCCTGGGACCTGGGTGCCCACAAAATTGGGCCCAGAGAGGAGGCCACCAGACCCGGGACACAGAGGAGGTTGGGCATCAGCTCACAGCTTCTCAGGGCAGTTCTCAGGCCGCTCGAGGACGCCGTTGTCCATGACGAAGTGCAGCACCTGCTCATTGGACATGCCCTGGTAGGGCTGCTCGGCCAGCGTGGCGATCTCCCACAGCACCACGCCGAAGGACCTGGGGACATGGCACCACGTCACGGCCCCTGCCAGCCATGTCCCCCTGGCCACACACCGCTCCCCGCCGGGAAGCTTGCCAGACCATCCATCCATCCATCCATCCGGGAGAGGGGAGGCACCTACCAGACATCTGAGTGGGTGTTGAAAAGCCCGTCCTTCAGGGCCTCGGGAGACATCCAGCGCACGGGCAGCAGCCCCTTCCCACCCTTGCGGTAATAGTCCGTTTCATAGATGTCCCGGGTCATGCCGAAATCTGGGGGCAGGAAGGCAGGGGGGTCACCAGGCCAGAACACACCCCCCCAGATCTGTACAGCCTCTGCTGGGAGCAAACCTGAGAGCCCCTGTCCCACTGCCCCCACCTCCAATCTTGACGGTGAAGTCCTCAGACACCATGCAGTTGCGCGCAGCGAGGTCACGGTGCACGAACTTCTTGGCGTTCAGGTATGCCATGCCATCGGCGATCTCCCCCGCCATCTGGATCATGGTCTTCAGCGAGGGCGGCGGCAGCCCGGGGTTGTTCTGGGAGACACCGAGGGAGGACAGGTGGACAGGGGGCCTAGTGGGATCAGGGCAGCCTCCCCCCCTCCAGTGTCCCCAGGAAGGTTCTAGGGGAAGAAGCTTGTGGAGCGGAGGCCCAGAGCCTGCAAGGTGTGCTGGGTGGGGGAGCACCCGCAAGCAGGGTGCCAGGTGCTGTACAGACCCAGAGCCTCACCGAGCAGATCTTCCCCCGAGAAGGAGTGGGTAGGTTTGTCTGGGATGACATGCCTGCCTCAAGATGGTTGGGAAGACTGATGGAGGGAGAGTTGGGTGGATGGATGCAGGGTTGGGTGGATGCAGGGTTGGGTGGATAGAAGAATTGAGGAATAGGAGGGGTGGGTGGGCAGGCCCCATCCAAGTCAGGTGCCACGGCCTCAGCTGGGGCAGTACATGGCGAGTCTCCCCTGCCCAGGCTCCCCCCAGCCAGTGTGAGACCCCCACCCCTGCCCCCAAGCTCAGTCCAACACCATGATGCACCATCAACCTGCCCTAAATCCACCACCCTGAGCAGCTTCCTCCTGCCCCCAACACCACCTGTGGCTTGGCCCCCATCCCGCACCGTTCTCCACCCTCCACCCAGCTGGATACTGGCTGCAGCCTCTCACCTCAGCGTCAGGGCGGAGAGACCGGAGGTAGCTTTTCAGGTCCCCGCGGGTCATCAGCTCCATGATGACCAGGGCAGGCTGGCCCTGTGACACCACGCCGAGGAGACGGACCTAGGGAGAGGTGATGTGGCATCAGGGCAGGAGCTGTGGCTATGGGGGCTAGCTGGAACGTGGATTGTCCAGGCCTCCCCGAGACCCTCCACCGGGTCCCCCAGGCCCCCTACCACGTGGTGGCACTTGAAGGCCTTCATGACGGAGGCTTCATTGAGGAACTCGATACGCTCCCGCATGGTGGCCAGCTCATTGACGGTCTTCAGGGCCACCTGGGTCTCCTCGCCCTCCTTCTCCAGGCCACGGGCAATGCCCTCGTACACCATGCCGAAGGAGCCCTGTCCCAGCTCCCGGATCACCGTGATCTTGTCCCGTGACACTTCCCACTCGTCTGGGACATACACTGAGGTGCCGATGGGGGATAAAAGCCTACTGTTGCTGCTGGCCTGGGGAGCTGTGGACTTAGGGTGCTGAGCCACCATCGCGTCCGTCCCCCTGCCCTGCCCCAAGACCCCTTTCTGGGCCTGGGATGCTGCAAGGGGGTGAGCTGCAATGCACCTTCCCAGCTGCGTGCTTCAATTTCCCCCTGCCCCAAGCGGTTTCTGGGAGCCGTACGTACTGTTGGAGGTGCTGAAGTACTCAGGGTTGACCGAGGCGTAGAGTGTGCCGCTGGGGTACCCATCGCTGTTCCTGCCAAGGGGAGAGGGCAGGGGTGAGGGTCTCGCCAGAGGGTCACAGCTCCCACCCTGCTCCCTGCTGAACCCCCCAGCAGGACCTAGCACCATCTGACCCTGCTGCAAACAGGTGCCCAAAGGGGGCAGAATCAGGCCCAAGTGTCACCCCCAGGCAGGATCAGGCCCTCTGAGCCCTCCAGAGAGCCCAGGCTGGGGAAGGCAGGTGGGTCTCAACTCCGTGCAGCCTGGCCCCCACCCCCACCCCCACTGGCCTGGTTTGGACATGATCTCAGGGCAACTCGGGACCCCTGCACATTACCTCTTCTTGTTGTAGAAGAAGACGAAGACAGCCAGGCAGGTGATGAGCACCATGAGCAGGATGGGCATGACAGTCAGCAGCACATAGATGCCCCCAGACTCTTCCTCCACTGTCAGGGCAGGGGGTAGAAATAAACCCAGCCTTTACAGATGGGTGGGAAGCCAAAAAAACCCCTGCCCTGGCCAGTCCTGCGGCACCATGAGCACCCCTCAGCCGGACCCGCGCACCACTCACCTGGGCCCAGGATGTAAAATTTGACCAGGCCGGTCCAGGAGCCATTTCCGGCCAGCGAGGTGGCCCGGACCTTGGCTGAGTAGTTCCCTGGCTGAAGCAGGGCGAGGTGGACTCCGCCATATTTTGCATAGCGGTGCCGGGAGACGCACACCACTGTGGATACGTTCTGGGGCAGAGCAGAGACAGGCTGAAGAGGGGCACGGGGATGCGGGGCCTGCTTCTCATGCAGCATGCCAAGTGCTGTACCAACCCCGAGGGAGAGGCAGCCTCTACCCCAAAGACCCTCAGGGCGGGAGGCGAAGGGTGTGGGGCGTACGGTCAGTGGGTGCAGAACCCAGGCATCCAAGACAGAGACACGGGCAGGGGCCGGGGGAAGGAGTGGGACTCACCTCGGTCTCCCGGCTGTACTTGATCTCATACTTGAGGATGAGCCCATTGGGATTGTGCGGCTGCTCCCAGCGCAGCAGGACACTGTTCTTGCTGGCTGGCTCCCAGGTGACGTTCCCAGGGATGTTGTCTGCTTCCACTGGAGGGGGAGAAGAGAGGGATCAGAGCTGTGGGAGCAGGTCTGACAGCCCCAGTGCTGCCCAGAGCCTCTCCTGTAGGGCCAGGAAGGTGGCATGGGCCTGGGGGATTCCTCCTGGACCCTCATGGGGCCCTACAACCGCATCCATCGCTGCCCTGACCCATGGACCCCTACATATCTGGGGGTCCCACACATGAGCACTGCCTGGGGGGGATCCCTCCAAGCTGCCGTGAAGCTGAGACCAAGAAACTCATTGCATGGATGGAAACCAGGATTTGAACTCTGGTCTCCAGGGGCTGCACGGTGCCCCCATCCCCTCTCCTCGGCGCAGGCCGTACGCTTGGGCATGGTCCTGGCGAAGACGAAGGTGGCGGCGCTGCAGCCCACGGTGTGGGCAGCGTGGTTGCAGGCATGGATGTCAATGCGGTACTCAGTGAAGTGGCGCAGCTGAGACAGCACCGTCCGGTCCCGCAGCACCTTGTCCTCGAAGATCTGGAAGTCGGGCTCAGCCTTGGGGCTCATGCCCCCGCGCTGCAGGGCCGACAGATTCCCCCGGGGCTCCAAGGAGGGTGCATTGGGCAGCGCGTGGCCAGGGCTGGTCACAGCCAAGATGTCCCGACGCCTCTTCGGGGTCCTACAGGGGACAGCGGTGAAAGCTGAGTGGGCTGGGGGACTCCTAGGTCCCTCCCAGACCTCAGGGGTTCATCAACAGTTAGGTCAAGGCAGGACTCCTGGGTCCCGGAGGAACAAGGGGGTCACACAGCTAGAGCAAGCCAGGACTCCTGGGTTCTCTTCCTGGGGTTTTCTTCTACCAAGCAGGGTCTCTACTCACCTCTGCGGGTTCTTGTTCACCGATGTCACCTTCCAGGGGGGTCTGGAAAGACAGAGCCGGGAGACTACCCAGAGGGTCCTGGCACGCCAGGCACCCTCATGGGATGGACAAAGTATGGTCACAGGCAGCCCCATCCCAAAGGGAACCCAGGAGTCCTGGCTTTTCAGCTAGACACCCCACTGCCCTCCACACCCCTCCGCTCTGCCCGGCCCAGGGCACCCTGCGGCATCCCCCAGACCCCTGCGCCCGGAGACAAGGACCCCCAAGACCCCCAGCACCTGGGGATGATGATCGAGTTGTGCAAAAAGTTCTCAAACTTCTTTTGGAAGGAGACGGCCTCACCGCCCATGTGCAGCTGCCCGTCGGCTGGGTGGCAGGGGCAGCACCGCTCCTCAGCCGCCTCCTCACCCTCGGGGCCCTCACTGCCCTCCACGTCAAAGCGGGTGTCTGCACTGCTAGTTGGCAGCTTCAGGCCTGGGCCGCGGTGCAGTGTCGGTGGGGTGATCAGGAGGCACCTCCTCCGTGCCCACCTGCCACCCCCCCACAGCCCCTGGGATGGACCCAGGAGACCAAGCAGCTAAGCCCCACCCCCCCCCTGGCACCCCTAGTAAGCCCCGCCCCTTGGGACTCCACCTTAATAAGCCCCGCCCTGAACATCTCTTGTAAGTCCCTTGGGACTCCACCTGGCTAAGCCCCACCCCCTAGCATCCCTTGTAAGCACCACCCCTTGGAACTCCACCTTCATAAGCCCCGCCCCTGGCATCCCTTGCAAGTCCCACCCCCTGGTACCCCTTGGAAGCCCCGCCCATTGGAACTCTACCTTCATAAGCCCCGCCCCTGGCATCCCTTGTAGGCCCCACCCCTCCACCTAGGTAAGCCCTGCCCCCTGGCACCCCTGCTGGGTAGGGAGGACCTGGGCATGTAGCCTATGGCAGGGAGGTGGCCCCTGGCGCCCGCCCGCGCTGACCTTTGTGGCAGTAGTCGTTGACATAGAGGTCGGCGTCCTCGGCCAACTGCTGCCACAGCACCAGGTAGTAGGTGATGTTCCCATTGCGCTGCGTGGGCGGCTTCCAGCGCACGATGATGTGGGACGAGGAGTTGGACATGGAGATGACATCCCGCGGCACCGTCGGGGCTGTGGGACACCACGGCATGACCCCCCCGCATCCCCTCTGCATCCCCAGCTGCCCCTGTTCTTCCCTGGGGGCCTGATCCTGCCTAGGCCTGGGTCATCCATAGCACCCCTGCGCCCTCCACACCGGCAGAGGTGCAGAAGCTTCCAGGATGGGGCCCTCACCCTGGAGGATATGCACCCAGGACCCAGACCTCACTTGCCGCAACTCCATGAGCTGGCGGCGGTAGCTGGCTGTTGTCCTCTGGAGCGACCTAACAGGTAGCGGGATGTGCCCTGGCACCCCTACCTGCTGGCAGGGTGCGGATGTAGACCACCTCGCTCTGTGCCCCATAGTTGCGGCCTTCCTCCGCCGTGGTGAGGGGGATGGCGCGGACAAAGAGGGCATACTGTGTCCAGGGCTTCAGGCCCAGCAGCGCCACACCGGGGTCCTGGTCGCTGTGCAGGGGCAGCTCTACATCCACCACGTTCCAGCTGTGAGCCCCGCAGGCGTCTTGGCCCACGTACTCCGTCACGTTCTGGAAGGGCCTGGACCACCCCCCCCCCAGCGGGGATCAGCGTATGGAGGGCCACAAACTCCCCTCCTCCCACCTCCTGGCTGGGACTCGGCCCCCTGCTACTGCTTGCAGGACAGAGATGCAGCTGCCTCTGGGATCTGATGGCCCCAGATGCACAGCTGGCTCTGGGGTGCGGCATGGCACCAGCTTCACACCTCTGCATCCCGTATGCACGTACATGATGCAGCCACATCTGGGGAGGGAATGGCATGCAGCAACCCCACCCTGGTGCAACACTTCACAGGATCCCGAAGCCGCCTCTGCATCACATACACCCATGCATGATGCAGTCACCTCTGGGGAGGAACGGCATGCAGCAACCCCACCCCAGTGCAGCACTTTGGGATGCCAAAGCCACCTCTGCATCATATATGCACATATATGATGCAACCACCTCTGGGGAGGGAATGGTGTGCAGCAACCGCACCCTGGTGCAGTGCTTTGGAATGCCAAAGCCACTTCTGCATCCCATATGCACATACATGATGCAGCCACCTCTGGGGAGAAAACAGCATGCAGCAACCCCACCCCACCAGCCCAGGCAAAAAGAGGGGAGCCCTGGGGTACCCCAAGGCAGAGCCAAGCCTGCCAGCTGCCTCCTGGCTGACTCAGGGTGGATGGAGGGTCCATGAGGACCCCATCCATCCTGCATTCCTGCGGATGCTGTAAAGGAGCAGCATCCCCACTGGGCATCGGGGGCTGTGGCCTCGGGCAGGGTTCTTTCCCGGGTCCTGGGCACTCACGACTCCTTGTAGTAGACGATGAAGCTGAGCAGGTCGCGGTACTCAGGGGGGCGGTACCGCTCCCACTGCAGGAAGATGCGGTCGGACTCAGTGATGTTGGAGACGAAGCGCAGCCGCTGGGTCTTGCCTACAATGATAGAGGCAGGTGGCTCGGGGTTGGCAACTGTGGGCATGGAGATCTACCCCCTCCCCAGCCCTGGGATGCACTGAGACTTACCCAGCTCATGCATCTACCACCCAGGTCAGGATAGAAGGGGGAGACCTCCCTGGACTTACCGGAGTGGGGCAGTATGATTGTCCCTTTTGCATGCATTGGTGTGTCTGTGTAGACACAGGTAAGTACTTGCGTGTGTGTGTGGGTGAGTGCATGCTATCTGAGTGCACTGTGTGTGTGGGTGTACAAGTGTGCATGCTTCTGTGTGTGTGCCTGGGTGCATGCTGTCTGTATGAGTGCACTGTGTGGGTACAAGTGTGTGTGTATGCATGTGCACACTGTCTGTGTAAGTGCGCTGTGGGTGTGTACAAGTGTGTGTGCAGGGAGGGAATGGTGGTGCTGATGGCAAAAGGGGTGGAAAGGACCATGGCAGGAGGGTACTGGATGGCAACCCCCCACCCCAGCCGGGCAAGGGCAGGGGCACTCACAGCTGGCGCGGTCCCCATTGGTGCGGGGGTTGATCTCGGCCTTGTTCTGCCGACCCTTGGTGCCTGTGACCTCCTCCATGCGGTAGATCTCAGCCAGGCAGAGCTTGGGGTTGAAGGCGAAGTACATCTTGCCCACGGGGATGGAGAGCGTGTGGTGGCCCCAGTCCCACAACTGCTGCAGGTTCTGGTTGTCCAGCACATACAGGGTGTAATTCCTGCAGCCGGGGGGAGAGGGGCAGGATCAAATGGGGTCCCCAGGGAGCAGGTCTCACACACACACACCCACACACACACACACACAGAGGAGTATGTGCAGAAGCACAAACACTTGTGCAACAGAGCATGCACATACAGTGTGCTCACACACACAGAGTGCACTCATACCAGTATCATGCACCCAGGCGTGTAGGAACATGCACACATGTGCACACAGTGCATTCACATGTGTGGAGCATCCACGTACACAGAAGCAAATGCACACTGCATGCACAGCATGCACCTAGGCACATGCACACACACAGAAGTGCACACATTTGTACAGACACTCAGTGCACTTACACAGACCGCATGCACCCAGGCACATGCACACACACAGAAAAGCACACACAATTGTATATACATACAATGCACTCAGACAACATGCACCCGTGCGTATGCACACACACACACAGAAGCACACACACTTGCACATGCACTTGTATACCCACACACACAATGCACTCAGCATGCATCCACACACAGAAGCACACATATGTGTATACACATACATGCCAATGCATACAAAAGGGACAATCATACCACACACACACCCTAGCAGTGTGCACATATGCACACACATAAGTAATGCATACATACAGACAACACACACACCTTGCAGTGTGCTCACATACCAAGGCAGGGATGTGGGTGGTCACCCCCACACACTTGCACACGAACCCCTTTCACACACGTGCATACAGATGCCACGTGTCCCGGTGTCTTGCACACCCACGCCAGGGCACCCTGTCCTGCAGCCTCCCACCCTCTCCCTGCTACCCCTGCCCAGGAGCAGATCCCTGGGCGCCAGGCACAGCTGTGCTCTCCCACCCAACAGGCCTGATGCTTAGAGGAAGGCACCAGCCCCACCAGAGCCCTGCAGCTCCCAACCAGCTGGGGAGAGGGTGGAGGGGGCCTCTCACCCGTCCACCATGGAGTCCCCGCGGATGAGCTTGAGGTTCTTGAAGAAGGACAAGGAGACGAGGGCGAAGGAGTGCTTGATCTTCAGGAAGCCTGTGATGGTCTCAATGAGCCCCAGGCTGCTCTGCAGCTCAGAGGCCAGGTTGTCTGGGCACAGAGGAGGCAAGAGCCCATCAGGAGGGTGCAGGGGAGGGGGGCAGGACTCCTGGGTTCCAGCCCACCCTCATCCCAAGCGTGCTGAGACTCAGCGAACTTGTCCACCCACGGGCATTGCTGCTGAGGGGCAAGACTCAGCTTCCCCCTGCCACCCCTTCCAATCCTGGCAGGCTGGAGACATGGGGGGATGGGATGTGGTGTGGGGTAGTGGCAGAGAGCAGGGCAGGGGGCAGGGAGCACTCACAGCCCCGGCGGATGTTGAGGATGAGGCTGCCCTCGAGGAGGGTGCAGCCGGCCAGCTCCTGTGCCGCCCGTGTGGAGTCAATGGTCTTGGTGCCCACCTTGCACTCCTTGGGGCACAGCCCCTCGCACCTGTGGCAGAAGATGCTGCGGGGGAAGGCGAGGGTAGGGAGTCACAGGCACAGCCTCCGCTGGACCCCCTGCCCCAGCCAGGGGTGCAGGGCACAGGGCCAGCGTGGGACACCAGATCCATGCCCTGACTCCCTGCAGAGAGGCATGGAGCCTAGGGGCTGGGAGGGGCCCTGGATGTAACCCCCGGGGTGCAGCTGCAGTAGGAAGCATCTGGATTTGGGGGTGGGGGGGGTGGGATCTGGATTTGGCCCCAGAGTTAGATGTATAGGGGTGGTGTTTGGTGGGTGCTGACCTGCTCTCATTGCGGCTGTAGCCAGGCGGGCACTCAGAGAGGCACTGGTGCTGGTGGATCACGAACTTGGAGGCATCGCGCGGGTTCTCGGAGACCTTGCGCAGGCTGGCACAGTACTCGGCCGTTACACAGCGCCAGCCCTCGTACTGGTAGGTGCGG